TTTTTGAGACTGAGTCTTGCTCTGTCACCAGGCTGGAGTGCAGTCATGCAATCTTGGGTCACTGCAACCTCTGCCTCCCAAGTTTAAGCGATTCCCCTGCCTCAGCCTCCTGAGTAGCTGAGACTACAGGCACCCACCACCAAGTCTGGCTAATTTTTTTGTATTTTAGTAGAGACAGGGTTTCACCATGTTGGCCAGGATGGTCTCGATCTCCCGACCTCATGATCCGCCAGCCTCGACCTCTCAAAGTGCTGGGATTACAGGCGTGAGCCACCACGCCTGGCCCAGACACAGTACATTTTAAACACTCAGGTGATTCTTGTTTGCAGCCAATGTTAAGAACCAGTGAGTTAAGGCACTGAGACGGTAATAAGTCAGGAAAGCTGGTATGTGTGAGTCATTCTTCCACTAAGTTTGACAGGTAAAGAAATAAGTGAATTAAATTGTAAAGCCATCAAAAGAGTCAGGGAAGACTCGAAGAAATTGTAGATTGAGATAAAGAAGCCTGTGGGGCAGAAAAGATTAAATACGCAAGAAAGGTAGAGAAAAGGAGAAGGAAAAAAAGGAACTTAATGTTTCTAGACTTTGTTACATGGCAGGCATTTTACATAGGCTATCACCATTATTATTTCTTTGACTGGATTTTTGAGACATATGTTGCTATGTTCAGTTTACAGTGAGAAATCAAGAAAAGCAAGGACCCAAGCTTGTGCTGCTGCATCAGTCTGAGACGGAAGGTCTTGGAGGAAGTGAACGAATATGGAATCCAGGGCTCAGCTGGGGGAGTCAGCTTGGAAAAAAGGACAAACATGTCTGCCGAGGCAGAGACACAGAAATGAATTAGACGAGGACATCAGTAAAAAGCCTGGAGTATATCAATGCATAGAGAGGAGGTAATAACAGAACCACTGTGGGGCAGAAAGGGAAAAAGTAGAGGCTCACTGCGGACTTCATCATCTCAGGAAAGCTGCAGCAAGCTAACTCACTGACCATGAGTACTGGTGGCTTTGGGACCATGCCCGTGTGCTGCACAACAGAGCAGAGAGCCAGCCCTGCCCTTCTTATTAGCGAGGTATGGATTACTCAATTGACGACCAATCTGTAAGCCAGGAGTACAGACCAGGCGAGTGGAAACCACAAGGAGGAAAAGCCAAGTCCCTGTCTTTGGAGCTGACAGTCTGGAGTTACCTAGAGTGATTTTCTATTTCACTAACTGTTAAAATAGTCTGATTAGAACAGAGTAAACCTTTGCTATTACAGAAGTGAGTGACCCTTTGCTTTGCAAATGTCACATAGAAACATTCTGCCACTGAGGCTCTCATGTTGCCCAGTGGTTCTGAAAATAAATAGAACTTGCATTTTTTCATGGACACCCATGAGTGAAAGTAAATATACCCTAATCATCATAGGAAGCATGTGCAGGCTGCACATGAAAGATGCTTCTCCCATGAGCTAGCAGAACCAGGTGGCGCCTATGGTTTAATTGTACAAGAACATGTTATTGTTCAGGAAGCATTAGGCTATTATGCCTATTCAGGTGTTTCTGGGCTTCCAATCCAAAATGATCACCAAAGCATCGTGGGATTTTTAATGCCTTCCTGTGGTTTGGCAAATGCCCACTGCTAACTGTGACTTGCCGGTTATTCCAGAGTGGCAGTCAAATCAAAGGGAAAGCCTCCTGTTTCAATTTACTAAAAAAAAAAAAAAAAACGGCTGGGTGTGGTGGCTCACACCTGTAATCCAAGCATTTTGGGAGGCCAAGGCAGGCTCATCACCAGGTCAGGAGATCAAGACCATCTGGCTAACACTGTGAAACTCCGTCTCTACTAAAAATACAACAATTATCCAGGTGTGGTGGCACATCCCTATAATTCCAGCTACTCCGGAGGCTGAGGTGGGAGAATCGCTTGAACCTGGAAGGCGGAGTTTGCAGTGAGCTGACATCACACCACTGCGCTCCAGCCTGGGCAACAGAGCGAGACTCGGTCTCAAAAACAAAAAACTTCAATAACCTGTGTTTAAAATGTTTCATTGGTGGCCCTCTGGGTTACATAACAATTGGATGCATTAATTATTAGGGCATCAAATGACACCAACAACACACACATTCAGGAATAACTATTTGATTCAGGCAGCTGCTACTATTTGTTTCAGTACTGCTAAATGTGAGGTTTTTGTTTTTTTGTTTTTGCAAGAGAAAAGTCAGTTGTGTGTGATTTCAAGAAAAAGATAAGTCAGAACAGCATGCAGCTCCATTAGAAAAGATAAATTCTTTATTTGTGGAAAACAACGGAAGTGGGGCTATTTAGGCACCACCAATGTTTATGTATTATATTCATATGGCGGAGAATAAACACAGCACCCTGGAAGTTTGAGCTTTGGGTATTAAAAAAAGAAAAAGAAAGACAGCAAAACGTTCCTGGGTCACTATCTCCTTTTGCTCCTTTCTGACTCCTCAGGCAAGGTGCAATTCAAATCCTTGGATAACCTCTCAAATATTGTCAAGCTGCTGTTCAATGTTATGCAGAAATAAGGAAAGAAATTTGACACGGATACACTCCACATCTGGGCTGCCTGGGAAAATATCGTCTTTGAGGTCATTCCACTCACTAAGTCATTTTTATTATTGTTCTGTCTGTCTATTTTCTGGTAGAGTCTCAATGAAAGATGTGTGGCCCTAATCATGCAAAGCCGATCTGGGGGTGGATCAGTTGTTTCTTCTCATCTTCACGGGATTTGGGCTCCCCCAACTACCTCCGTCGTCTTGTAAAACTGGCAGGCTCTAGACGTTTTGCATGCTGAAGAAAATCACTGTTTTGCCTCCAGCAAGGAACATAAATGTTGCAACACTGACTCCTCCTCTCATGAAGAAAGAGTGAACAAGTGCACCGAGTTGAGCTTCTTCTCACAGAGCCACCGGGCTGGGGACAGTGGAGCGGAGGCTGAAATCCCCAGACACCAGTCTTCCGGGCTGGGCTTCCTGCCTTACTCGCTCCTTCTCCCTCTTTCTGGATTTTACCGACCGTTCGCCAAACAGCTTTCCACACAATGGAGCTCCACGTCCTCGTGCGGGAAGTGCTCACCGGCTGATTTTGCAGACTTTGCTCCCAGGCAAAAGTGAGTACCCACGGCGAGCCGAGGCCGCCTTCGACGGCGCGCGGCAAGGGCGGCGCGGGGGGTGGGGGGGGGAGGGGGAGGGTGCAGTGTCCGGGCTGCAGGTTCGAGACCCGCGTGGGGAAGGGGAGTGCGGTGGCCGCGGGCCCAGGCTGCTGGAGAGAACCTGGCCAGGGGCCAGAGCCGACAGCCGGCAGGGAAGCCCGGGATCCGACCGCGGCCCGCCTGGCGGTCCCTTCCCAGAGGAGCTAAAAAATACTCTCAGGTACCACTGCCCCTTACCCAGCTTTTACAAACCGCGCGCGACTCGTATTCGTCTTTGTCAAAGGCATCTTCACCTGCATCCTTGAGCATGAGTTTCGGAGTTGATTGTGGGAGTCTGAGAATGTAAATTATTTGCGTCAAAATATAAAGAAAAGAAAAAAAGAGCGGGGAGGGGGAAGGAGCGCAGACAGGTGCTGTGATGACAGCCGAACTCGGGACTCATCCACCAGCGGCCGCCGCCGCAGCAGCCTCGCGGGCATCCGGCGGGGAAAGTTCAGGGTTAGCGTTGCTGATCCAAAAGGTGGTTGCTCCTCGCAAAAGTCAGCGGGGGTAGGGGCAGGTGAGCAGCCTCCGGGCTGCAAGCCGGCGCCGGACGGAGGCAGACGGACCTAGGCCGAGGAATTGCAGCCTGCGAGGAAGCTGGTAGGAGAACAGGCTGGAGGAGGGAGGAGGGAAGGGAAGAGGAGAGTGGGGAAAGTCAGGCAAACTCAGGTAACTGGAGGGCCGGCCCGAGTGCTGAGGGAGGGAAAGGCGAGGGCTGGAGTTCCCGACTCTTTGAGTAGAAAACTATCCTTTTAGTGACCTCTACCTGTATCTTGGGGAAGCAACCCACACTGCCCTAAGAACAAGCAACACGGGGGTTTTTCTATGATCGGACTTGAAAATGGTTGTAAATCATTATTGCTAATCTGGAGGGATCACTTTGTCTTCATTTGTCAAGTTGACTGGCAAAGATTTCCCACCTGAAGTCATGCTTCTTGACCAAGGAAGTGCTGCTAATCTCAATCCTGACCATTGGCTGTGCAAACTTGGGCAAGATACTTACCCTCTCTGGGCTTTGATTTTTTCTGCAAAGTTTAGGAAATTAATTGTATGTATATATATATATATATATATATATATATATATACACACGTACATATATAAAAGTTTAATGAGGTAGAAATGCTGAATAGCACAAGAGAAGAGCAGGTGGAATTTTTAATTTCAGTGGTTCTTAAAAATTGGAGGTGATAGATCCTATCAAGAATTAGCTGTGAACCCTCTCCCCAGGGGGAGAATGCATGTATGACATGTACATAAAATTTTACATGCCCTCCCTGACGGTTTGTGGATACTCCCTGAAAGCCATGCCTGAATCTCAGCTAGCAATCCCTTGTTCCTCCTCCTGCATCAAGACCACCCAGCTGACACCTTACTGGCAGTTGGGCTGACTTTGGAAGTAATCCACAGCCTTCTTGGGGGTCTGGAGTCAGCCATGCTGCTGAAGGAGACAGCTATCCTCTCATGGGTGAGCTCCCCACATGCTATCTCCAGGGTTCTACCAGCCTCTGCCTCCAGGGGACCCCCTCCTCACAACTCTTTTTAATGACTCTCCTAAGGTGACAGTCCTTACCCCTAGAATTTTCAGTCCCACCAACATTGGAGAGCCATTTAAAGGGGATCACTGGCTGAATCAGCATGCTCTTCAGGTCACCTAGCTGGATGTCAGGGAGCCAAGGCTTTGTTTGAAAGAGAAGCACTCTTTGCTCCCTGAGGCATAGTATGAGTAGGCAGTATTCTTTTGGACCTCTGTACTTTGCCTTTAGGGGACTGAGGACTCAGATCTCTGGGGACCTAGGTGTTCCACTAGTAGTGCCAGCAAGGTACAATCAGAAAATACCCAGGGCTTTGGAGCCCAGCAGACTGAGCCTGGGCTTCAGATCTCGACTCCCACCCTAAGCAAGTCACTGAGTTTCCCTGAGCTTCACTTTTCCTATCAGCACAATGAAAATAATGCTGCTTTTTTTAATGGTTGTTGGGAGGATGGAAATACTATGTATCATGCCTAGCCCATAGTCAACAACAAATTGTTATTATTAATATAAATGTGGCCCCATAAGTAAGTGTTCAATTGTCTCATGCTTTTTAGAACGGCTTACTCTCTCTCTCCTATGGGGCTTACATTGGTAGGAGAATGAGTAAAATTAGTTCTGGTCTAGTTATGCTCAAAGAGGAATGGTGGGCTCAGAATACAGAGTCAGATTGGCTGTTCCAGTTGTGCAGTGTCAGGCAGAGCACTGTGTATTGCTGTCAAGTAGTAAAATATGTCCAGACCGGCACGGATACTTGACCTATCTGTTCTCTTTTGACCCATAACCTTGAATACAAAACAGCTAAAGCTGTGTCTGTTGCTAAAAACAGCCAGGCATGGAAAGAAGTCTTGTGGTGATGTCCACCTTCAGAAACTGTAAAGAGAAGTGTCTCCATTGCCATCTTTCACAGCTTGGTGCACATTTAGCCAACTCAGCATATACTCTCTTTCCATGGGGTCCTGGTGCTTCTGTTGCAAGTGGTCAGATGACGTAGCAATGAAAGAAGGAAACATCGGAACCTTAAAAGGAAATTGGATATCCACAAAGTAGTCAAAGATCTCAGTGTACTTTGGTGAGGTATTCCTGCATGCAAAGACAACAATATTGATGCCTACTATTTATTAAGTCTTTAAGATGTACTAAGCACTTTCACACATTGCCTCAATTAATTCTCATAGCAAGATTGAAGGGTACGAGTTAATCATTTAAAGCTTTTCCAGTAAGGAAGCTGAGATGTAGAAATGTATATACGGCCCCCTCTCCCCGCATCTGACTAGCTCAGAAGCAGAACCAGGATCCAAGCCCAGGTCTGTCTGACTTTGGCACCCACTCTTTTTCCACTACCCAGTGCTCCCAAGCTCCCCGGTATCAGAAATTTGCATCATGCCAACTGCATTAAGATTCTTCTAAAAGGCAGGAATAGCTAAATCTATAACCACTAAAAGTGGGTGCTTTTAAGTGGTGTGAACATATACTTGGCTAGTGATACATATTAACAGGTAGCCACAACAAGGTCACCTATGAGAGAATAATATTCCTGGCCCTTCCCAAGTCCAGCCATAACACGCAAGATTGGCAATACCTAATGTTAGCAGGTGAGGCTGGCCCTCTGCCACTGACTTCCTTGGTAATCCTTTTAATTTAAACAGAGCTCTGGAATGTTCATTGTCTACCACCTTTAGAATCAGAACACTACTTACCTTTACCTCCCTGTGCTGAGCATGTTTTCATTCATTTATTCAACAAACATTTGCCCAGCTCTGTTTTGTGCTGGGTACTTAATGGCACAGTGAGAAATGAGGCACATAGGATCCCAGTTCTTGTGGAGCTTCTTGCCAGAGAGAGTGACAGAAAACAGCTGGGTGAAAAAATACATAAATAAAATCATTTCAGATACTGAAATGCTATGAAGAAAATTTAGAAGTTGAAGGCTAGAGAGTGACAGAGCATGGGAGCGACTTTCAACAGGGCAGTCAGAGAAGACTGCACTACCAAGGTTACCCTTGAACTTAAGCCCGCATTTTCAAAAGGGGAGCCAGCCCTGGGAAAGTCTAAGGAAAGGGCCGCCTTAGCAGAGCTCTCAAGGGAAAGTTCTTAAATTGAAGTAAACCAAGCAGTAGAGCTTTAAGTCTGAAGATGGGCCCTTTTGAAGTTGAGTTGTATATCGGGGGAATTATTGTTTAAATGCCTATTCTGCTATTCTAGGCTGTGCTGCATACTCTATATTTATCTTCCCAATAATCTGGTGAGTTCGCTATTTTTGTTTTTATTTTACAGTTGAAGAAACCAAGACTCTTCAAGGTTAAGGAGCCAGTCCAAGGTTGCATGGCTAGTATTTGAAACCCTTAGTCTATTTCACTCCAAAGCCCACAACTATTTGCTAACACAGCATGTGGCCTTTGAGATAATGTCTTTTGGAGAAAGTGAGGGAGCCAGTAGAAGGAGAATATCAAAAGTATATTAAGTAGTTAAATGCTGACAATGATTTCTCTCTGATGTCCCACATTTCAGTAAGTGCACCTACACCTGAACTGTCCAATACAGTAGCCACTAGCCACATGTGCCCGTTTAGCCCTTGAAATGTGACTATTCCATGTGGACATGTATTGTAAATGTAAAATATACCCCAGATTTTAAAGACCTAGTATTCCTCCAAAACAGTAAACCGTCTCAATTTTTATATTGATTGTATGTTGAAATGATAATATTTTAGATACACTGGTTTAAATAAAAGACATAAAAATTAATTTTACCTTTTTCCTGTTAATATGTTTTAATGTGGCTTGATAGAAATGTTTAAATCACATATGTGTCTCACATTTCCATTGAATAGCACTGGTCCAGACTAATAAGTTGGCAAATACATGATAGGAACTTTTGCCCCCTTCTTCCAAACATAACTTCTTCCTCTATTCTTGTGTCAGGCTCCTTCTCATCTGCCCCTATATTCAGTTATTTGGTGAAGAACTAGAGAAAAGAGGTCCCTCTTCCTTCTTCCCCACCCTCATGCTGCTGGTATGCAGGTGATCATTTGAAGTCCACCACACCACATCACTTTGGGATCTGATAAAATCGACTCAGTGATTATATTCATCACCAACACCAATCCTCTCACTAAGGAAAATCTCAAGAGGCTTTCAAACATCTGATAACCAAAGGCTCATTTTATATCTGGATTTAAAGTTTTACCTTTAAATCACTTCCTAATACATTGTCTTCGTCGTTTTGGGTACTTTGTAAAATCAGATGAGGAGACTTTCATGTTTCGTGCAAAGTTCATTAAATAAGTCATCTCATGCAGTGATAAATGTTTCTCCCTGTCCTCTTGTTTAAAACAGCATGGACAAAAGGTAGTCCCAGTTTCCGGAAGGGCTACTCCAGGGG